TTATAGGTGCCTGCCACCATGCCTGGCTAATTTTTTGTTGTTGTTGTTGTTTTTAGTAGAGACGGGGTTTCACCATGTTGGCCAGGCTGGTCTTAAACTCCTGACCTCAAGCGATCCACCTGCCTTGGCTTCCCAAAGTGCTGGGATTACAGGAGTGAGCCACTGTGCCTGGCCTTTTTTTCTACACGTACTTGTTCTAAGATATCTGATCAAACCCTAGGGCTCCAAACACTGCATGTGGGTGATAGTACAATCTCAAGCATAAGAACAGGGCTTCTGACCTCCAGGCCACATCTTGTTGCATGATCAACACATCTAAAAGTCAATTAATCAAAACTCCCCAAACTCCTCCCTTCTCTCTTTCCATTCCTTCTGCAACTATCTTTACTCCCCCATTCCACTGCTGCCCTTTTGCTGGTTGCACTTGCTTGTCCTTAAAAAGGTAGTCAAGATGTTACCTCCTTGGAAGTCTCGCTGGTCCCAAGATTGGATTGGTAGTCCTCTCCTCTGTTGTATAGTAGGCTGTACTTTCCCGACATAACAATGTCACTTGTCCCCTTTCCAGTTTTCTCCCTAGACTGGGCATTGCTTGAGGGCAGGAGCCCTGTCTTGGGTATAAACATCCAAAAGAAACTGGGCATGTGAAATGGAAAAAGCCTCTGGTTGCAAATGGGAATATTGCGCTTCCTCAAACACATCACCAGTTTATTGAGCAAACTGAAGTTGGTAAGATTCCATTTATTTTTCTCTCCCACCATTGTCTTCAAATGGGCTCTGTCTAGTTCTCCTTTCTTGCTCTTTGGTGACTTCTCCAGGCAAATGCCAAGACTTTGATCACTTTCAGACATCCGAACAGTCTCACTTGGGATATGAAAAGGTCCAGTCTAGGCTGGGGATGTGTCTTACGCCTGTAATCTCAGCACTTTGGGAGGCTGAGGCAGGTGGATCACCTGAGGTCAGGCGTTTGAGACCAGCCTGGCCAATATGATGAAACCCTGTCTCTACTAAAAATACAAAAATTATCTGGGTGTGGTGGCACATGCCTATAGTCCCAGCTGCTCAGGAAGCTGAGGCAGGAGAATCGATTGAACCCAGGAGGTGGAGGTTGCAGTAAGGCAAGATCACACCCCTGCACTCAGTGACAGAGCAAGACTCTGTCTCAAAAAAAAAATAAAATAAAATAAATTAAAAAAATAAATAAATAAAAAAAATAATAAATAAATAAAAGGTCCAGTCTAAACCCAACTTAAATCTCATACCCAATTTAACTTTCTTCCCTCTATCCAGCTCAGTCTGCTGTTCACTGGAGAAGGCAGCATGACGTGTTCTGTCATTTTTTTTTTTTTTTTGAGACAGAGTTTTGCTCTTGTTGTCCAGGCTGGAGTGCAAAGGCGCGATCTCGGCTCACCGCAACCTCTGCCTTCTGGGTTCAAGTGATTTTCCTGCCTCAGCCACCCAAGTAGCTGGGATTACAGGCATGCACCACCACACCTGGTAAATTTTGTATTTTTAATAGAGACGGGGTTTCTCCATGTTGGCCAGGCTGGTGTCGAACTCCCGGCCTCAGGTGATCTGCCCGCCTTGGCCTCCCAAAGTGCTGGGATTACAGGCGTGAGCCACCACACCTGGCCTCCTTCTGTCGTTTAATCTTCTCACAGCCCTCTCCCCAGCCTCTTCCCCTTCCCCTCTCACCCTTCAGGATTCCCCAGGACTGAGAAGATGAGGAGGAATGAGAGGGAAGGGGCAGAGAGCACCATGAGCAGTTTGTGGCTTTGCCTGAGTGTTTGGTGTCCTGTGCACTCTAAGCCCAACTCTTTTTAGGACATATTGATGAGACTTCAATATGAGATACCTTCTCCCAGCACAGGGACTTCTTGCACTGGGCCCTATGCCTTCTATCTCTGAGTTCCTCTTTGCTGGGATCTTATGCCCCAACAGGTAGCTCTCTTTAATACCTCTGGCTGTCACTGGGCCATGGAAACCCACTCACCCTTAACCTTTTGTTAAGTAAAACTTATAGGAGGCCACTGATTTGGACTGAGCTGCTATGCTAGACTCCAACAGATCAGACCAAAATGGAAACACTCCTGCTAAAGTTCCACATCACCAAATGTTGCTGTTTATCTGACCTTCTGGGAAACCAGGAGAGATTATAGCCAAATCCCCAAACAGGCCAGTTTTAGCTGATGTGACAAGGAAGTCCCCTCTGCTTTAATCCTTCCAAGGAAAGTAACTGACAGCAGCCTGATGCTAACCAATCCGCTTTTTGTTCCCCATTTCTGCTCTCTTCAGCCCTTTTCTGTCTATAAAGTTAACCTCTTCTGCTCAGCTCAACAGAACACTCATTGTATTTTATTGAATGAGATGTTGCCCACTTCTAGACTCACTAATAAAAGCCAAGTAGATCTTTAAACTAAATGTGTTGTAATTTGCCTTTTGACACTTTCAAATGGCATCCTGCTACCCAGTTGCCCTCTGTCTTCTTACCCTGCCACCTGGCTCCACCTAGCTCCTGCTTTCAGAGCTCTCGAGAGCCAGGTGCCAGTCATCATGCCCCCAGACTCCAGGGGACACATGGCAGGCTCTCCCAAGACCTTTGGCATTTGCAACTCTGGTAGCAGCACTATGTGGGCTGAAATGTTTTCACCACTCAACAAGCTTCTATCTATGAAATGAAAGTTTGTCTCTCCTTGCAAGAATCTCCCTAAACCCGAGGTTCTCTTGGGCCCCCTCTTTGCTTGCTTTGGGGGAGGGGATCCCCTTCCCCATGGGAAAGGAAGGAAAAAGCAAAGCTTGCTCCTCTTACAAATTCCCTTCAAGGAACTCTCCATGAACCTTTAGCCTATCGTTAGCAAGTCCAGTGGGATTCTTTTAGCACCTCTCTTTAGAATGTAGGAGTGCTTATCACCCACTGATTCCAACTTTGAAGTTTTGGCCAACACCTGAGATAATAGGATAAGTTCCATTCCATATCCTGTTAGCTGTTTCTTCTGCTTAAAATTCTCTTCCTCCTTCCTTAGACCTGCCTTCAGTCTCACATCCCTCCCTACCTGCAACCTCATCTAAAATGTCATAGTAAATAGGAAAAAAGGGGTTACATTGGAACCTTATCTCTGAACAAAACTCAAAATCATAAAAATACATTTATTTTATCTATTTTATAAAACAGATATGGTATATGTGATTGCACACAATTCTGAGACTGAAAAAAGAATAAGTCAATTATATGGGGCTTTAGCTGTTTGATAAAATGATATGGTAACACATTATGTTTTCCTTTATTTTACATTCAAAGGCAGGAAGATGAAGAGGAATATTTTTGCAAAAACTTTCAAGAGTTTCATAATTTCCTGAGGGCCTCTCTTCCACCTTTGATATTCAAATCACCTTCTTTTGAAGAGGTTTTTGTGTCACATCCTTGTCAATTTTCTCTCTCTGTTAGCTGTTCTAATTCTGCCAGATCCTTCTTTGTCCACGGGCTTACCCATGATTGAGTAGTTCTCTAACTTCACTGCCCACTGCATGAAAGTGCATTTGCTTTGCATCGTATTTCTGTATTGCTACAGCACTGGGAAATCAGGGGGAGGAGGGCTGACAAGGAGCATGAGGCGGCTGGCTAGAGGGAGGAGGCAAGTTTAGCAAGGATGGGGTGTTTGCATTTGGATACCTTTTATAAATGGCAGGTAAGTTCATCAGTCAACACTGTGTTGTAACAACTTCTGCTTCCCCATGCCACCTTATGACTTTGGGGCTTAGATACTGAATATTGGGATAACGAGGAACCTCTGCCAGCATCCAGGGAGGCGGTACACTTTAAATGCCTCTCAGCTAAGATGGAGGCAAGGACTAACTGGAGCCAGCAGAGTATGCAGGAGACAAGGATAACGGGGGGGGATTTGTTGAGCCACAGAACCCAGAAGCAATCGGAAGTTTCTGAAAAGGAAGGTAAGGGAGGTGCCAAGAAGAGTTTGTCCTCTGTGACCACCAAGACTCAAACTATCTTAGTCTATACATAAGAGACCAAGCTTGTATCTCCTTTAACCTCAACTCCTGCCTTACATTTTTTTTTCCAACTTCACTTTCCTTAAGGAAACCACTAGTTTATCTTCATTGTGTCTAAATCAAAAGAACACCCACGCCCACCCTGTGGAAGAAGGAACGCCTCTGTAAATATGGATTGATAACTAAACAGCATCAGGAAGCACGTCACCTGCCCTTTGTAACTAGTCCTCGGCATTTGCAAGACTAGTCTCAGCACCAAGTATAAGCGATGAAGCCAGTTTTCTGCAGGGAAGTCACACATGGAAAAGCATTTGTAAAAAAGCATGAACAAATGAAGGGGGAAAATCTTAGGGAAGGATTGGAAGATGAAGGGGAAAAATCTGAGTCTGTTCAAATCTGGAGACCGTAAAAAGTGTTTGAAGCCATAAGCTTATATCTTGGAGGAGATCCCAGGGTAAACAAAACTTGCCTGAGGAGTCTGGATAGTGTAATAGTTGGCCCTGATTTGGCGAAGGCGCTGAAGCCCTCCCAGCTAACAGAGAACAAGCCCTTTGAAGCTCCAGAGACAGACTTCCCTAGAGCAGGCAGCAGGGTGGAGTCGCCTGGAGGCTGAGAATGCAGGGTCTGCAGGCAGAACATCAAGGTTTGGAGCAAGAACCAGAGGGAAATCAAGGACTAAAATGTCATCCTAAAATGAGAAGGTGGTTAGGTCCTTGGAATTTAACACATTGAACACTCATCCTACTAGTATTACCTAAGCCAAGCCCTGCTGTGAGGCAGATATTCCACGAAACAAAGCAGACATTGGCCATTCCTACTGATTAACAATACAGTGTGATGACCACTCCTGTGGGAGATGTGCGAGTCAGGAACTCCCATTCCAGTTCAGTGGGGTTAGGAAAACCTTCCCGGGGAAAGGGGCCTTTCAGCTTAAACCTGAAGGATGAGTTAGTCAAGCAAAGAGAAAAGAGAAGAATGAACTGCACCAAGGAACTCGCCTATGTTAAGGCCCAGAATCACGAGGGTGCTGGCGGACTGGAAGAGCTGAAGGAGGTTAGGAGTCCAGATGAAAGAAATTGGGATTATTCATACTGGAAAAGGAAATGCTAAAGATTGAATGCAAGTTTTCATTATAATAAGGTGTTTGAACAGAAGGCATGACCTCCTACATCGAGCCTTGCTCAAAAAAAAAAAAATGGGGCTCAGGGGTTCCCAGAACTGATCCAGACTCAGGGATGGGCCAACCCAAGTAGAAGGGCCAGAAGTCCTCAAAGCAGCATCCCCAGAGATCCCCAGAACCCCTCTCAGGGAAAGCCTGTGTGGGGCCGGGTAGAATAAGACCTTTGGCACTGAGGGTGAGATGGTCCCAAGGGCTCAGAAATAAGTGGTTGTTAAATTGCTTTCTAAAAAAGGCAGTCAGCTATCTGTAGAGCTTTCCTTTTGCCAAAGGGTGTTCCAATTGGGACCAGACCTGTGTGCTTGGATTATAGGGCAAGGACTGGGCAGAGCCCAGCGGCCTTCCCTCTCCAGCTCCTCCCAGCAGGGCCCTTATTCCAATACTAATGTCCCAACATTAAAAGAACATTGGCCAGGTGCAGTGGCTCATGCCTGTAATCCCAGTACTTTGGGAGACTGAGGTGGGTGGATCACCTGAGGTCAGGAGTTGGAGATCAGCCTGGCCAACATGGTGAAACCCCTTCTCTACTAAAAATACAAAAGTTAGCTGGGTGTGGTGCTGTGTGTCTGTAATCCCAGCTACTAGAAAGGCTGAGACAGGAGAATTGCTTGAACCCAGGAGGCAGATGTTGCAGTGAGCCAAGATTGCGCCACTGCGCTCCAGCCTAGGCGACAGGGCGAAACTCCGTCTCAAAAAAAAAAAAGAACATCACTTTGAAGGAGCGCCAAATGGGGAGCTTTTCCAGTGTGCTCACAAGTCTCACTTTGGTTCTGTCCACAGAAAGGAAAAGGACCTTGCCTATTCTCTGGCTACCTCTTCTTTTTTCCTCATCTCCTGCCACAATTCCAGACACAAAATAGAAATCAGAGATAGCTGTGCGCTCAGAGTGCCCACCTGGAACAGGAGGACTGGTAGCCAGCCTGGGACGAGGGTTCAGGTTCAAACAGGCTGTTTTTTCCTTTGTCTCTCCTCCCACCTGGGGCTCCTTCCCACCCTCTCCTGCTCCCTCTACTGGGGCCCAGGAGATTGGGTGAGAGGGCTGCTCAGGCCACTCAGGAAAGAGCCATGGGGGCCAATAAACACATGGAAAAGTATAAACATCTGGCAGTAAAAGAAACACAAATTAACACACCATTTTAAAGTCTGTCAATCCAGCAAGAATCTTAAAATTGTATAATAACAAGCTCTGGAAAAAGTAAGGTCAATCTCCACTCACTGATGATGTTATGGATAAAACCTTAGTAACAAGGGGAAGGACTAATGGCACCCACTGCTCACTGCACAGTGCCATCCCTGTCCCAAGAGAGGCTGTCTCCCCCTATCTGGGGATGGGTTAGCCGGACCTGACTTGGCTCTGCTTAGTAACTAGATGGTTTGGACTGGGGTGATCACTGGGATGACATATTCTTTCTTTTCTTTTCTTTTCTTTTTTTTTTTTTTTTTGAGACAGAGTCTCACTCTGTCATCCAGACTGGAGTGCAGTGGCGCGATCTCGGCTCACTGCAACCTCTGCCTCCAGGTTCAAGTGATTCTCCTGCCTCATGAGTAGCTGGGACTACAGGCACCTGCCACCACGCCTAGCTAATTTTTGCATTTTTAGTAGACATGGGGTTTCACCATATTGGGCAGGATGGTCTCGATCTCCTGACCTCATGATCCACCCACCTTGGCCTTCCAAAGTGCTAGAATTACAGGCATGAGCCACCGCGCCTGGCTGGGATGACATATTCTAAAAGCACCATCAGTAGAAGCCCACAGCAGTCCCAGTCAGATCCAGTCTTCAGGAGATGACTCCCCAAGACTGTTGCCTGAGAAGCAGGGACTTGCCTCATCCCAACCAGTAAGAGGAATGGTGGACATAATGACTCTGGCTTAGCTACTTAACTTTTTTTTTTTTTTTTTGAGACAAAGTCTCTCTGTCGCCCAGGCTAGAGTGCAGTGGCACGATCTCAGCTCACTACAACCTCCATCTCCCGGGTTCAAATGATTTTCCTTCCTCAGCTTCCTGAGTCACTGGCATTACAGGCATGTACCACCACACCTAACTAATTTTTGTATTTTTAGTAGAGATGTGGTTTTGCTATGTTCGCCAGGCTGGTTTTGAACTCCTGACCTCAAGTGATCTGCCAGCCTCGGGCTCCCAAAGTACTCATTACAAGCATGAGCCACCAAGCCTGGTCCTGGCTACATGGGGCAACAATGCTGCCAGTTTAGGTGTCAATGTATTTTTCTGACCAGGTTGTGCTGACCAACAGAGAGTCCTCTAATTTATATATTAAACCAAAACATGCTATCTGAACCTAAACATAGTCAGTTTTTGTTCCTCTTTTCAAAGATAGATCCTTGGCCAGGTGTGGTGGCTCACACCTGTAATCCAAGCACTTTGGGAGGCCGAGGCAGGTGGATCACCTGAGGTCAGGAGTACCAGACCAGCCTGGCCAACATGGTGAAACCAGTCTTTACCAAAAATACAAAAATTAGTCAGGCATGGTGGTGTGTGCCTGTAGTCCCAGCTACTTGGGAGGCTGAGGCAGGAGAATTGCTTGAATTCAGGAGGTGGAGATTGCAGTGAGCTGAGATCGTGCCACTGCACTCCAGCCAGGGTGACAGAGTAAGACTCCATCTCAAAAAATTATAATAATAATAAAAAACAAAAAACAAACAAAAAAACACCCCAAAACAGAGATCCTCACAAAGCAATATTCTTTATAAGAAAGTCCACATATCCAGGCTGACACTTTTGTTCATCCCAATCCCCAAAAATAAATCATTACAAACAGAACTTTCAGAAATATTCTTTGTATCTGAAGTATTTGTCACTCTACACCTCAGAGCCCTAACCATAGAATGTGAAGGACCTATTGACTTTGTACCCAAGAGAACAGTCTATGTTGCTAGTAGAAATCACCTCCTCCTCCAGAATTCAGCAAGATGGTACCTGGCTATAACTAAAGATTAAATAACAGCTGATGTCAACTGGTCATAGAACTAGATACAACATTCATTCCATTTTCAAGCCAGCACTCTCATCAGAAGCTATAGTGATACTTTAAGAACCCACCTGTAAATTGTATCTGTTCTTCACATCAGCGTTGTGCTGTTGGTTTTGTCTGCAAGTTCACTGGGAAGATGGCACAGATGGCCACCAACTTCTGCGACCTGTGTACGGGGAGGCAATTTTCATGTGAAGTATATGAAAAACATCACTAAACTTAAAGAAATTTGTAAAATCCCAGAAGCCACTAATTAGCATTTCATCCTACTACCTCTTTAGTTGTTGCTGCTTCTTGGCTGAACAGCTGTACCAGTCCCTCCCTGGTTTCCTGCCCCCACTCCTCACATGCGTCTGTCATGCTGGTGTTCTTCTTCAACTCTAGCTTTGACCATCACTCACCGCAGATTCCCTGGATCATTGACTGCTTGAACAGGATTTCCTACAAATTATCCTCAGTCCTTTGAGGGGCAGGTCAAAGGGAAGGGACGGGAGCCAAGGGCTAGGGGTCCATCCATTCGCAGGAGAACAGAGCGGGGTTTTGAGTTAAGAGCTTTGAGCCTGGGCTCCAATTCCAACGCTACTGGCCGAGCGACTTCACACAACATAATTTCTAAAATGGCAAAAACATTTATCTAAAGAGTAGATATTACTGTGAAGAGTTTAGTGGCCACTGTAAGAGTCAATATTGTCTGGCCGATAATGTGTCCTCAGTAAAGGTTAGTTCCTTACTTTGTTCCTGTAATTAGCAAGATATGGCACATCTGATGAGCTAAACCACAGACTCCAAAGAGGTTCTGGTGAACTGGGGCCAGGGGAGGCCACGTGGGCACCCAGGGGCTATGGGCTTGTTGATGAGGCAGAAAAGAAGCAGTTTCTAGGCATTAGTAACACTGAGTTTCCTGGGGTATACGGAGGGCCCTTATGGTCCAGGGGACCATAGATTATAATTGTAAACCAAAAAGTATCTGAGACAGGCCTCAATCAATTTCGAAGTTTATTTTGCCAAGGTTAAGGACATGCCCAGAAGCAAAAGGCACGGAATCAAAGAAATGATCTGTGGTTTGTGCCTTTCTCCAAAGATAATTTTGAGAGAGGGCTTCAATATTTAAAGAGGAAGCCAGGTGCAGTGGCTCACACCTGTAATCCCAGCACTTTGAGAGGCTGAGGCAGGTGGCTCATCCGAGGTCAGGGGTTTGAGACCAGCCTGGCTAACATGGTGAAACCCCTCCATCTCTACTAAAAATACAAAAATTAGCTGGGCGTGGTGGTGCACACCTGTAATCCCAGCTACTCAGGAGGCTGAGGCATGAGAATCGCTTGAATCTGGGAGGCAGAGGTTGTAGTGAGCCGAAATCGTGTCACTGCACTCCAGCCTCGGTGACAGAGCAAGATCCTGTCTAAAAAAACACACACAAAAAAACAAAAACTAAAGGGGAAAGCAGGCTGGAGAAGAAAGAGGGAGGGTATGGAAATCCACATGTTGCAAGAGAAAAGGATCAGGTAGGGCAATAGTCAGTTATGCATTCGTCTCAAGCTCAGTAAATGGGCATTTACCGATAAGGTGAACCTGTGGAGATATTTAACCTTTTATCTGTAGCTGAGCTTTATCTGCTTAGGAACAGAAGGAAAGGCAGTTTCTGCATGAGTCAGCTTTCAGCTTAGTTTTTTTTTCTTCTGGTGTAGTGAATTGGGGTTCCAGTTTTTCTTTTCCTTTCACACAATCTTGGAAATTAAGGTAGAGAAAGGGGATCAGAATCTGACTCAGGGAACTTCTTTTGTTCTTTTTTTTTTTAACTTCCCACAGTATACTGATGTAATCAGGGAACTTCTTAACCCAAGAAACTTCCGTGTTCTTTCTTTCTTCCTCCTCTCAGTATTATTTCTTCTAAACATTTCATCTCTGTATATTGCATCTCTACTAACTTGTTTATTGACTTTCCTGGCTTCTTCCTTTGGTTGAATCCTATGATTTTCTACTGTCTCTCAGAGGATGTGTATGTTGATTTCTTATCATGTTTATACATTTAACTCATTTAGAATTCTTCCGTTGCTTTGGGGTCTCCAGGCACACGAGCAAAACAAACTGTTAGAAAAAAAAAGTGTGGCTGTGTTTCTTCTTGAAGGAAATGGCAGGCGGCGGGGAGAGTAGGGCATTGGGAAGTGAAGTCGCCAGTCACCATGGAGCACCACCCAGCACCAGGCATCGGGCCTGGGCACATCAGAGCCAGCATGCCTGCCCGGAAACATTTCCTTGTCTCTAGGGCAGCATTGCCAGGTCATGCACCTGACATTACTGACACTGAATTACAGTGAAAAGTGATTCACTCTTTATTCTCTTTCTTTCCTTCCATGCTGGAAATAGTTCCTAGTTCACGTTTAAGAACAATACATATTCACTATGTGTATTTTTGTGATTATCGATGGTAGAGGTATTTCCTTTATCATGGTAATAAAAAAGCATTCCTTTAAAGTACTAGAATAAGTAAAGAGTATCGCTTTAAGGAAAGGCACCATGGTAAGACCCCCACCGATGAAAGGGCCTGTGTGAGCCCCAGCGGTCTGAGGTAGGGCTGGGAGCGGTTGCTGGGGGGCTGCAGAACCACTGAGATCGCCGGGCATCCCCCTGGCCCTGGCTGCCTGTGGCGCTGCAGCTGCTTTTTTTGGGTGGGTAAGGAGCATCTGTGGACCTCAGTGATACAACTGCAGGTCCCACTGAGACGAACCCTTCTCCTTGTCCTGCAGTCCTGGATGTGGGGGCCCCATATTTCCATCACCTGTATGAGTTAAAGCAAACACTTTCATTCATGCTGTGGCCTAAGAACCAAGGAAAACCAGATGCCCTATGATGAAGCCCCAACAAGTAACCTTTTATTTTTTCTTATTTTTTTGAGATGGAGTCTTGCTCTGTCGTCCAGGCTGTTGGAGTGCAGTGATGTAATCCCGCCTCACTGCAGTCTCGACCTCCCAGGCTCAGGTGATCCTCCCACCTCAGCCTCCCAAATAGCTGGGACCACAGGCATGTACCACCACGCCCGACTAATTTTTTTTTT